TTCACTCAAGGCTCCTTTTCTTTTGCTCTGTGAATTTTCACTGTGACCTGCCAGAAACAATCTTATATCTTAAATGTCTCCTAAAGGAGGATGCTCCTCTATGGTCAATGAAAATGTCTTAAACAAAAGAACTGGCAGATAACAATTTACATATACAGCTATTGATAAAAAAAGTTCTTTTATGCAAAAAAGGCATACATGACATCCCAAAAATTCCTGACCAGGAGAAAATGTAATTTGATCTTCCATTTGACAGTAGAGACTTTTCACCTCCTATTGATAATCTTTAATCTGATAGGGCAGATGTTAATACTTTTTACTAAATATTTTAAGAATTAGAACTTTTTTTTTTTTTTTTTTTTTTTTTTTTTGCTGTGTAATGCACATAACATCTTAATGGTTAATGGTTAGGTAGTTTAATTGGCTCAATTGCTGGGCAGGAGGGGAAGCAAAGGCTGCCTGCAGTTTGCCTGACCCTTTTCTATCAGATTGAAGTATTATTATGTGCTGTACTATATTAAGCATAATCTGGAAAAAAAGCACAATCTGTTCTTTTTAAGCTTCTTAATAGTTTCTAGTACTGATTCATGGGAAGTGGAACCAACAGATTGTTATAGTTAGACTGTAGGTGGGGACACATATGCTTGAGTTTTGAACAAAATTCCAACTCTGCAGCAGGGACAAGTCTTTCGCACAATGATGTAATTGTTTTTTTGAAAAAACATGAAGAGACATATGGAAGTAGCTTTTGACTGGGCTTAGGGCCAGGTGTTCAGGTAGGCAGCATGCAGGATCCAGGCCAGTATTTTAGAAGAACCCAGCTACCACTTGTTGCCAAGAGGACACATTTACAAAAGCCATCTAGTGCTAATAGCTCTGATTACAGTACCACAGATAAAGTTTCAAGAGGACAGGAACATTCACTAAAAAACTGTGGTACGCCCTCCAGCAGAACCAGTAGCACTATAAAGGTGCCAGTTTCCAAATACTGAAATGGAGGTGGAGTTTGGTGGGGCAAGAGGAGCCGAATTTAAATTCACCATACTTGAGCTCCAGCTTCTGTTGTTTGTGAAGTCTTTTCTGATGAACTGGAATTTAAAAAGTTAGAGTAAATCAATCCCTCCCTTCTGTTGAACATTTCCTTGAGAATTTTCTTTAAATTTAGAAGTGGAAACAAAATAGATACATGGATGAATTCCCAGGATGGAGGCAACTTTCGTCATACGGGACTCACCAAAAAATGTTAGTTTGTTTCCAGCTAAGGAGTTCTGAATTAATTTCCATTTGGAAGTGAAACTACAAGCTGCATAAGACATCTCCATTGTCCATCCATTTGTGCAAATCCTGAAGCCTCTATATCCTTTTTCTTGTGTCATAGACTTGGCTGAACAGTGGGAACTGCCCCATTGGAGGAAACCTGCTCTTGCTGTGGCAGTTTTGGTAGTACTGCTATAGATATACTGAAGAATCATGTCCTTGAGGAGGCCAGTTCCATACAGAAAGCATGGAGATTCTCTTCCACTGTGAACCTTATATCTCACCCTCAAGGACATGACAGAATGTACCTTACCTGCTTTCCCACTCTTATTTCTTCCATGCTACATGTATATGTTTATGCACATACATGTTTTATTCAGAAAGAAAGAGAGCCCAGATCAAATTTTTACTAATATATGGTGCAAAAAAAAAATCTAAAAGAAAAGGTTTCCTTTTTCCATCAAGGTGTGTTCATTATCCCCATAGTATAGCTCATAAAAGACATACATACCTCATCAAAACACTTGCACAACAGGAGAATTCACTATGAATAATTAATTGCATAGAGTTTAATCAGCAAGGCAAGAGCACCACTGGTGTATTTGTATGAATGTCTTGAAGCAAAACTCCTTTCTGTTTTTATCAAATTTCCCTTGAGCTTGTGTCACAGAGCTGTAGTTTTCCCAGCTGGAGACCTCAGTGACTCTCAGATTTGGACTGCCAGGATGTATTTTCCTCCAAATGTTAAGAACATAACGTTTTCCTTAGCACCCCTGGTAGTTTAATATGTTTCCTATGCTTTTGGATGACACATAACTTTTTGTATGGTTTCATAAAATGTCCCTGCCTTGATGCTTGATGAAACCATGGTGTTTGTGCTCGAGCAGGTTTTATGGGATTGGAAAGGAGTTAATGCACTTTGTGCTCTCTAAAACACCTGTTATTTTTCCGTACAGTAATTAAACCTATTCTCAACTTTATACCAAGCTTGAGGATAACAATTTGAATGCTTATAGCAGTTTCAGACAAATACTGCAGTATTTGCAACACAGAAGATATGCAGTTCTGTAAAGAACTAAGTAAACTAGACCTAGCTGGGAATTTTCCTCTGAGTGTTTTTTGACAGAGAATGAGATCTACAGATGTCTGAAGATCTTTGGGTGTCATAATTTATCCCCAGCTAGCAACAAAGCACCAGGCAGCCTCTCACTCTCCTACTAGCAGAGATGGTTTAAGATAAAGACAGTTAAATAGGTAAAGGAAAACTGTGCACACAAGTAAAGCAAACAAGGAATTAAATCACTGCTTCTCATGAAGTGTTCAGCTGTCTCTAGGAGATCTGGGCCACATCACGTGTAATGACTATTTGAGAAAACAAACACCATCATTTCAAACATTCCTCCCTTTCTTCTTCCCCAAACTTTATGTACTGAGCATGATGCCACATGGTCTGGAATATCCCTTGGATCAGCTGGGGTCATCTGTCCCAGCTCTGTCTCCTCCCAGCCTCCCATATACCCCCACCTTCCTCCCCAGCATGAGAGCATGAAAAGTAGAAAAGGCCTTGTCTCTGTGTAAACCCTGCTCAGCAGCAAAGCATTTCTATGTTATCAACCCTGTGTTCAGCACACATCCAAAACATAGCACTATACTAACTACTGTGAAGAAAATTAACTCTACCACAACCAAAACCAGCACATTGAGATATATAGTTTTTCCTCAAACTTACATCTTCTATGGCAAGATTGACAATGGTTCCTTGTTCTTTTCATCTTCTGTTAGGAAAAGTGAAATAGAATATTTAATGTTGATCCAGAATGAACCAAATGAAAATAATTTCAGACAAAGTAGTTTTTTTCCTGTCAGATGGCTTAATTTTATTTTTGAAGACCTCTGTGTCTGCTTGGAGTTAAATATGATTGACCCCAATTTTTCCTTCTGGCTGACTTTGGCAGCTATAATACATATTTCATGAGACACCATGGTTTTGACCTCTAGATGAACTGTTTCAGCATCCCATGGGAATCACTTGATGCTCATGTACCACTGGAAACACAGTTTGCCCTAAGGGCATGACACAAGGGTAAGCACTGGACTCCTGATTTACTGCTCTCAGGAAGCACTGCAACAACTGAGTTTAAATGACATTTTGTCCCTCCACATTTTGCATAGTAATGTGGTTTCCATTAGGCCTAATCACAGCAAGGAAGGAAATGAAAGTCCCTTCAGGTAGAGAGACCTGCATTCAGGTTGCCGTTCTGGCTGGGTGCAATTTGGAAATTTAGTAGTCTCAAGTTCTCAGTGATTAATTCCTGGTGTGAAAGGAAAATAATGTTACTTCCTGTCTTCTTGTTCTTTGCCTCTTTTGACTATTTGGATGGTAAGATTCTGAAACTGAGCACTGCTTTTACATTCATATTCAGCACCGAGTATAACAAAGCCTCTGAGCTGTAGAACCAGAGTGATAGGAATGACTCCTCAGGTGGGCAAGATGACTTCTCAATGGCTCCAATGTCCAAAGTAAAAAAAAAAAAAAAAAAGACAACAGTCCAAATCCATGTCTGATCCTCACTGCTTTGCATGCATTTTCACTGTCAGTGCTCCTGTGTACTTGTAATTCTGCTGGTAAGAGAGAAAATTTTTCTTACAGATTCTTCCATTTGCAAGCTAACAAATTTGTGAAGGATCAGTGGTTTCTTGCAACATCATCACTTGACAGTCACAGTTTTATTAACTAATTAACTGATTGTATTTCTGTGGAATATTACTGAGGGTTTAAGACATTACTTTTCAGAAAGATTTCCTGCCTCTGAAACCTTCTTGTTTAAATGAGACATGAAACAGATTTCAGCAGCCAGATGGAAGAGCACAGGGAAGCAGACACACAGTCCTGGTCAGATGACTGTCAGTGGTATCAGTACCTCCACTGTTTAAGCACTGTGACTTTTATGTAGGCCTGGCAGTGAAGAAAGTTTCTGTGGTGAGACAGAATAAAGGAAAAAAGGTATCTGTCTATTGATATCTATTACCAGTTTATCCCCATAGAGGAAGAAGATACTGAAAGAAAATATGAAGTTTTTCCCACTGGTAGAAATTTAATTCAGAACAAACAGGGGAAAAAAACCTAGAAAAATATTAAAGCACATTGAGTTAATCTGTGCTCTAGGGATCCCTGTAATGTTAACCCTCAATTTTATTATTCATTCTTCAGTAGAAGTTTTTACTTCAACAAAACAAATTTTACTTTTCACTCTAACTAGAAAAAAATATTGCTTCTCAGATTGCAATTAGATGATGTTATGAGGGTTTTTTTTTTTTTGCATATATTTAAAATATGACACCTAAAATTAATTCTCAACATTTTTTTTTTTAATTTACTGAAGTAAATCACAGAGCATTTGGCCACATTTAGTCAGTTTAAGAGAATCAGAAGGGATTGCCATTTGTACACAATTGTACACCATTGTACACATTGCGGACCAGATCCTCACAGGTAGTGAAGTGCACAACAGCTTTTGGTTTAAGCAGAGATACGGTCTTTTGAAGAGCAGTGAATTTTCCAAGAAAATTTGTTGACCTGGTCTTGAAAAACTGATTAATTAAAGGATTAAAGTGATATTGTTAAGATTGGTACAGTGATCTCCCTGCAGACACATAACACATTTAAAATATCTGATGTTTCTCAAGGAAGTAAAGCTGTTACAGATTTTAATATACGCATTTGTGTTTCTGTTTGTATTTAGGAAACTATGGTGAAAGTGGAATGGAAGCTTTCAAAGACATGGCAGCCAAGGAAGGGATCTGCATTGCACACTCCTACAAGATCTACAGCAATGCTGGCGAGCAGAGCTTTGACAAGCTGCTGCGAAAGCTTCGGAGCCACCTGCCCAAGGCAAGAGTGGTCGCCTGCTTCTGTGAAGGCATGACTGTGAGAGGTCTCTTGATGGCCATGCGGCGCCTGGGACTCGCTGGAGAGTTTTTGCTGCTAGGCAGGTGAGTAACACTGTGCAGTTACAGCCTGCCGTTTCAGTCAGCAGGGCAAAAAAAAAAGAAAATTATCCCATTTTCTGGACAAGAGGCATATAGTTCACAGATTCGTGGCCTCTCCTATACCTGTGCATATCTAAAAGATAGGAAGTAATGTCATAGTAGTACAAACTCTACAAAGACATGCATCATTCTCATGACGTGTCAGGCAAACACAAGTATGCTTGGCCATTCCTAGCAGCAATGAGTAAGGGGAAGCTGGCACAAAAATCTTTGATCTATATAACCTGTTTTATTCACTGCACTTTCAATGCATTGTGTACATATACAGCCTGAAGCTGTGTCTTGTTCCAGTAACTCTGTGCTAAGGATTGCTGATGTGGCCTCTGGGTGTACCTGAAACAGAACTTCCTGAAGAAGCAAAGTTTGTTAACTGCCACCTTTTTATCCTGAGCCAATGTGCTGATGTACTTACTGTCCTAAGGGCAATATATAGGTAATCCTTTCTCTTAGCTCAATTGTATCAGTGTTTCTTTTCCTGACTGCCAAAGGAAGAAAGGAAAAGTCACTTAGTGTGTGTTCATCCAGAAGGAAAAGATCCTGGGCTCGTAAGCAGAGAAGTAATAATTGATGTGAATCTAAAGGGATCTTTACATTTTCCCCTTATTCAACAAATGGATCCTAAACAAGACAGGAAAAACGATGCATTGAAAACAAAATGGAGTATACTGGTAGTCAACAAGTGTAACTCACTGCCTTTTCAGTGCATTATTAGAAGGATGACCTGTTGTTGCCCCAAGCATGAACCCTACAGGAAGACAAGTAAAATGGGGTCAGTGAAAGGAGAAGTCATGGTAAGACCTCCAGGAAAATTTTCAGGGACTTTCTTGGCAGCTGGGAGACTGAGTCTGTCCAACTGGAAGGACACCAGCCTCAGTTCCCAGTCTGTCCTGTTGCACACAGCTGCCCTCCCCCCTTGTGCAAAGGGGAAAGCAAATAGGCAAAAACTGTGGCTCTTGTCTCTGCCCTTACTATTTGACATCAGCCTACATTTTGGCATTTTCAGATGGGAATTTTTTTATTCTTTCTCTGATACATGGCAACTGTCTCCATCCTTCTTTTCAAATACATTTTATCTGTACGGACTTCCATGGACTGTCTTGGTCCTTTTATAGACAGATACCCAAAGGAATCACAATCCTCAAGGTGAAATCCACATGAAGATTTATAGATGTCTATAATTTAGACACTTCCATGTAGCCATCAGTATTTGCTTTATAGTTAATTGAGCAAAATAGGACTTCAGGTCACTTGTTTGTAATGTGAATATTTCAAGCAGCTCAGAGAAATCATATTCTAGAAAAGGGCTTGTACAAAGACTCTCTTGATCACTACCTTTTGCGGAAAAGTCTACTTGTCAGTTGTATAGAGCAGATTAGAGCAAATGCCACCTCCACTATCTCTAGCTGAATCTCATGCCATAGGATGTTTGCTATCTTCTTCCGTCCTAAATACAAGAAATTATTAACTATCTGCAGCAGTACTCAAATTTAGAAGCATATAAGCATTGTTTTTAAAAAAAATATGTTGGCCCTTAACTACTCCAGACTCCAAACTGTACATAATTTTTGATGGGATTTATGTACAAATGCTAAATTTAGCCCTCTGAGATGCTTTTATGAATAAGGACTTCCGGAATTGCTGATTGTGAGCAAGAGCAGAGCAATTCAGATTATCTCTTCAAAAAAAAGCAAGGTCTAAAGAGAACAGCCTTTGAGGCTTTGCTTCAAGTCTTTGTTTGTTTTGTTTTGTTTCTTTGTGAAAAATACCTGTTTCTAGCTGCAGTGGGAATTGTCATGAGTAACTATAATAAGAAATTTGTTATTTACTTCCATTGGGTAAATTGAAAGTGATAGCTTCTATTAGAAGCCTACACTGTTAAGTCTTTCCAATTGAAGCAAAAATCCTTTATTGTACCTGACCATTTGGGGTGCATCCATGCCTGTGGCAGTACTACACAATTTAGTTGTGAAAAATGCAGCATGAACTGGAAGTGTTTACAAAGAAAGAAAAATGAAAGTGTAGAGATTTTTGTCTATCCGTTTAATTTATTACCAGAGATTCCACGGTAATGGCTGAGAAGTGGCTACTCAGACAGAGGTTAATATGTCCCCAGACAGTAACTGCTGCGTCAGACAAGGATGGCTGGAGAGATATAGTCTCTCTACATTTGGCTCTGAACTTCAGAGATCCCAAGGATCTTGGAGCATCCAGTATTTTTCAATAGATTTGTTTCCAATTTGATATCAAAATCATCTGTAAGCCAGGGAAAAATAAACCAAAAGAATAAACAAACAAAAGCTAACTAATTTTGCCAGCTGAGGACTTTTTTTAGGCTTTGTTGTGCTTAGTCTGTAGAGCAGTGTTTTATGTTTCTGCCATGCAGCAAGAATCATGTGTATGGTGTGGGAAGTTGTGGAGTAACAAGGTTCTGCAAAAATGTTCACTCTTGTGAAAATGTTCTCCTTCCACTATGGGATAATCTCTAGGTTTTGAGGCAGAGACAAAAGAAAAAAGCAACAGAAAAAACAGAGAACTTGAAAGAACTTCTTGACACAGATGGGGTATAAAACAGTGATATCATTGTCCAGTGATAATCTGTGTTCCTGTAGGGATTTTAAGATCTGTTTTCCAGGACCTTGATGTACTGTGTGCTCTTTTGGTTTCTGACTGTTTGGCTCTGTTGTCTGTGAATATTTACCTGTTGAAGCTAGGGTTGTTGGTTGGTTCTGTAGAGAACAATCTAAGGCACTCACCGGGGATGGATGTGACACCGGTACAAACCCAGATCTCATACAAGTAGATTGTACTGGAGACCTTTTTGTGCATCATTTGTAGGGGGAAAAGACAGTAGGCAAGATTTTGAGAAGAACAGATGGTTCAGAGTGCTCTAAGGGGAAAGAGCTACATCTGAAATTAAAGAAGGCTCATGAAACTAACTTTTCTTGCAATTCTATGCAGGAAAATGGACGAGGATAAGATTTATACTTTCATTCCTCGTCTAATCCTGGAGTTGCTCTGGGTTACCCATTCAGCTGAGAAGGTTATAAAAGGGCATTCCAAGTGTAGTGAGTGCTGTTCACTGGAATGCCATGGGCTTACAGGAAAGTACATGTACTAATGGATACTATTTTGTTCCCCCAAAAATTCTTCCCTGTTGTTTTGTTAAGTGGAGAATTATTTTGTTTCTTTTCCAAAAGTGAATTTAGTTCTTTCCAAACAGAAAGAACTAAAGTCACAAAGCCACACCGTAGCTTTATGGGAAACAATAAATTAATCAACATTTCCATTTCCTCTTCGCTTTCCTTTATGGTCCATTTTTAATTTGGATTAATCCCTAATATTTTCAATACAAAGCCTTGCAAAAATATTGGGATTTTTTTAAGCTATGGATTTCTCACAGCATCTGTTTTATGCTCAGATAAACAGAAAATGGATTGGCCAAGAGGAATGCATATCACATAAATTCCCTTTACAGCCCCAAGGGGAGGAAAAAGATACCTTTCAATAAACTCTTCACTCTTGACCTACTATGCAGTTTCTGAAACTGCATTGCCTGCTTGTGACAGATATGCAAGGTGGCATGTCATTAGTGATTGTAACATTCCAGAGATTTTTGATTCATGGAAAACATTTTAAGTGCTTGGGAAATATTTACCTCATGCATCTTGAAGAATTGGACTTAACCTCAAATGCAAAGGTGAGTGTGTTGACTTTCAAATGAGAAAAAAATATTATTTTAACTTAACCGTTACTCAACTCGAGATATGGACACTAGGCTTCACCTGTTTGTCTTCACTGCTTCTGTCATCCACAGGTCATATGCCAGGAGATATCCTTACAGATAAATTCATTTGAGAATAAATAATACATTCACATAGCAGAATAACTTTGAAAGAAATTTCAGAAGGAACCATGGAATATTAATTGTGTAGATAAAACCAGCTTTGTTGTACATGATTTCCAGCTGTTCCTCATTTTATGTAATATTCAGGCCCAACAGCTGAAATTTTCTTTTGTATTGTATACCTACCTTCATCCTGCTCCTCTTGACTCCTAGTTTCTGATCTTTGGACAAAGTGTCTGTGATAATTCTCTACACTGATAGTTTTATTTGAAGCCTTTCAGCTGCAGGAATTCCAAAACTTGTCTCAGAATGACTAAGTATCTTAGTGCTAGGTCACATGATTTTTCATAATAAAATAGAAACTATTAGTTGCAACAGAAATTATGAATATTGACTATTACTGTCCTAAATTATATGGATTTTGAAAATGCTACCACAGCACTGAATAATTACATTCTTTTTTTGCTTGCTGGAATTATTTTATCTTATATATCAATTAACACTTTCGAGATGGGACTGTGCATGGTGTTGGTGACAGCATTTACCAAGGGATTATTGCCAAGAAGCAGCTGGGGCATAGGTACTCTGTTTTGGGGTAGAAGAACATCAAGACTCATGGATGCAGTCACTATATGTCTTTTACCTCTAGACAAGAAAACTTCCTCTGGTTGATTAATTTATTATCAGAAAATAGTTATTGTACCAACCTAAAAAGAAAAGACAGAAATTTTGCAAAGAATTTGTGATCCCAAGTGCAAGACAGTCAGACTTTTCCTACCTAAAGGAGAAGGGAAAGGACAAGGATATTGGAATGGTCAGGTGTTGGAACAATTCCCTGCCGAGGGAAGTGGTGAAATTATGATCCTTGGACATGTTCAATGTGCATGTGGCACTTGGAGACATGGTTTAGTGGTGAACAGTTGGACTTGATAATCCTTAAGGTCTTTTTCAATCTTAACAATTCTAAGATTCTAAAGGGAAAGTAGATACATATAAAGATAAAAATTACTTGGTTAGTGTCTCCAGCTTCCAAATGACATTCCACAAGGAGTATTCATCTTCAAGAAATAACTGTGACTTCCATTTGCATCATATGTTC